TTTACAATTGTCCATAGAATTTGTTTTCATTACCAAAAAAAAAATTAAAAAAGAAAAGCTGGAAATCATTTTCCCACCAAAATTGTGGAAAAACCAATTCAACAAAAACATGGAAAAAGGGACCACGTGGTGGGTATGATAAAAATATTTTCCATGGAAAATTTTAGCTACCAAACATGGCAAAAATGGGAAATGGAATTTCAATTCCATTTTCCATGGAAAAAAATGGTCTATCAAACATGCCCTTAGTTCTTTGATTTGAAGAAGTTATCTATTTATTAATTGTGAAAGAACCATCCTTTCTCCAATAATTCAAGTTTTTATTTGACTAAAATTAAATTAAATACACATTATTTTACGTTGAAATATTCATAAGGACTATTCAATTCTAGTTTTATTTGATTAAAATTAAATTAAATACATATTATTCAACGTTGAAATATTCATAAGGACTATTTAATTCGTGGAACAAAGTCAACAACCTATTCAGATAAGATGCAAATTAGTTAGACTATCATATTCATGGCGGAAGAGGAAATAGTTTATGACGTTACTTACTAGGAGAGGTTGGAAGGCCAAAACAAAAGTGGAATCTCTCCTTTTTGTTTTTAATCACATTCCTTTAACTCATCAAAGAGATTCAGTGAGGTAGTATCAGTTAAGCTGATAGTCGTAGTGTGTGGGTTCGATTCTCGCCTCTTACAAGACATGAAATTTGACTCTTTGTGGGCACCAATATAACAGTTCTTGTACCCTGATCTGTAGAGACATATTCCGCAATTTACCCCCTTCACAATGTTTTAGGGAGAGGGCGGGGCCCTCAAAGTTGGGGTTTTGTTTTTTTTTTTTTAATTTTGATTTTACTTTTTCTTTTTATACCAATCCCTAAATGTGTGGGCCATGACATATACATGAATAAATAAAGGGAAAATTGCGGACGTGGTCCCAAACCTTTCATTTTGTTGCAAATTACACCCAAACCTTTTATTTTTGCGGTCGAAGTCCCAAACTTTTATATGTAGTTGCAGCGTCGGTCCCAAGCCTTAATTCCGTCCATAAAATCATTAGTCAACGTTTCAACAGTAATTTTGACTAGAAAAAATTGCAGCGCTGGTCCCAAACCTTTAATTTTTATTTTTTTTTTTTAATTTTGATTTTACTTTTTCTTTTTATACCAATCCCTAAATGTGTGGGCCATGACATATACATGAATAAATAAATAACGCTTTGTTTCCAAGGCTTGGATATATACATGAATAAATATAAATAAATAACGCTCTTTGTTTCACAACTCTCTCTCTCTCTCTTTCTCTCTCTGGAGTAAACGTCAATGAAGCTCCACACCTCTGAAATTCCAATTGGGAAACACCAAGCACGAAGAAAAACCCAAAAACTTGCTCCTCTAATAGTTTCTGCTTTTCTTTTGACAATCATCACTCTATCATATCCTGGCATAATTAGAGATTCTCAGAAAATATCTGAAGATAATTCTCAAGCATTTGAATCTTTAGATCATGATTCAATAATACCAACTAGTACTACTCGTTTAGACCAGAAAAATTATCAGCCTTGTTCGAGTGGAAAAATTGATGCACCGGGGTGCAACAGTAGCTTAGGAGGCGAAGATATACAGGCAAGAAAATCACCACCAAACATCACCGCGTCGCCACCACTAACCAGCACCCAGCATGTCATGGTGGCTAATGAAACTTTGACAGAGAAGGGTGAAGATAATTGTGACTTGTTTTCTGGGGAATGGGTGCCAAATCCAGAGGGGCCTTATTACACAAACATGACATGCAACGCAATTGAGGAGCATCAGAATTGCATGAAATTTGGAAGGCCAGATTTAGGGTTCCTCAAGTGGAGGTGGAAACCTGACGCCTGTGAGTTGCCAATATTTGATCCTCAACAGTTTCTGGAACTTGTTAGAGGAAAATCATTAGCCTTTGTTGGAGACTCTGTTGCAAGAAATCACATGCAATCTTTGATTTGCCTCCTGTCTAAGGTATGTATCCCTTCAATGTTATTTTCTATCAAGAATTTTAACTGAATATACTATCTTTTGTCATGGCCGGCATTAGTAGAGAAGACAATGAAGTTCTCATACATACATACATACAAATACATAAGGCACGATTGGTAGGCTTTTAAAAACCAAAAGCTGATTATGACACTAAAGCTACTTTTGAATAGTTTGGATAATTTTTCAGAAGTGCTTTTAGATAAAGCTAATATAAGGTAACTTCTTTAAAAAACTATTTTACAAATATCGGAAGCAAAAATAGAAACTCTACCAAACAGGCTCGTAACATATCTATGTATGTGTGAATACAAATTAAGAAATTATTAGAATATAAAAATAGATCGGAGCAAACATACGTAGCTCCGTCTTAATTTGTATTATTCGCTAGATTGATGAACTAATTTTTGAAGCTGCACATAACAATTTATTTTGTCCTAAATTAGTTACTATAGGTTGAACACAATTTTTTTTTTTTTTTTAAGAATTTCGGGTATAAAATAGTTTACAATTTTGTTCATATAGCAACCAACAAAAGAATTTTCAGTTTTAATTTTCAACCAGCCGCCGGCTGTTTTTAAATTTTCAAAAAATTAAGTTTAAACTTTTTTGGTTTTATTCAGTAGTTTAAGCCAATTAAATTCTAAGCCACTAGCTTATTTTTTATATTTAAAAAAATTAAAGTGATTTCATATGAATGAAATATATTAATCGATCCAATGAGAGTTTTCTTCCAATGTAATATTATTTTGCTAGTCGTGCAGGCAACTAGTGACAGTTTCAGATGAATATTATTAATTATAGTGGCATCATTACTAGGGGAAGAGCTAGGGGGGTCCTGGGGGACTTGGACGGTTGGACCCCCACAAGTTTTTTACAATTTTTTTTTGGTTCTTTTTGTATTTGCCATAACCATTTTGTCCTCAAATTAAATAAAAATCTTAAACCCTACCAATTTTATTTTTCGTTTCCATCTTCAAAGTATGAACTCGAAAGGAACAATTGTAATAAAGTATGATTTTGCTAAATTAAATATTTGTACTTTCTTTTATATGTTTTTTTTTTTTTTTTTTGTTAATAAGGTATAAAAAAAAAATAAAAAATTTGGGGGCAGAACCCCCATGGCCCCTACCCCTTCATCTCTATATCTTCAATTCTGGAACCCCCCAACTTCAAACGGTTGGCTCCGCCCTTGTTCATTAGTCAATATTATTAATTTTGGCTTGCTATCTAATTTGCAGGTTGTTTACCCCGTGGATGTTTCAAGCTCGGCAGATGCAAATAAACACCACGAATACAGAGATTACGACTTTAATATTTCTATTTTCTCGTCACCTTATTTAGTAAAAACGGAGAGAACTGAACCAAACGATATAACACGCCCATTCAACCTATATTTAGATGAATATGATCAGAGTTGGACGAATCAAATTGAAGATTTTGATTATGTTATCATCTCTGCCGGACAGTGGTTCTTCCGTCCCACTTATTTTTACCTCAACCGTAGCCTCGTCGGTTGTCTCTACTGCCCCGAAGCCAATATCACCCACTTCACATCATCTTTTAGTTATCGGCACGCGTTTCGAACTGCATTTCGCGCTATAAATAGGGCAAAAAAATTCAAAGGTATAACTTATCTTAGGACATTTGCACCCTCACACTTTGAAGGTGCACAGTGGGATAAAGGTGGAGATTGTGCTAGGACAAGGCCTTTCAAGAGGAATGAGACTCTTTTGGAGGATTTCAGCTCAAAAATGCATTCGATTCAACTTGAGGAGCTAAAGACGGCACAAGAAGAAGCGTGGAGAAAAAATGGGTCGAAATTTAGATTTTTTGATGCAACAAAGCCGATGTTGTTGAGACCAGATGGGCACCCCAGCAAATATGGGCATTGGCCTGTACAAAATGTGACAGTGGCTAATGATTGTGTGCATTGGTGTTTGCCTGGACCCATCGATTCTTGGAATGATTTCTTGCAAGAATTGTTGAAAAGGGAAATAGATCATTGACATGAGATTTTGGTTAGGCTGAAATCAGTGGCGGATCCAGAAAAAAATTTAGCACGGACTAATACGCAAAGAAAAAAAATTCACACATAATTTTTTTTTTTCTTCAGCATTTGGGCTGGAAGGGACGAACTGTAGCACTGGCCAGCCCGTCCCTAGATTCGCCCCTGGCTGAAATCCAGAACTCGTAACAAGATATAACAATATACAAATTTTCTTGATATATATACCTTTTTTTTTTTTTTTTCTTCTCTCTTGTAACTTTTTATATTTTAATGTACTTTCTTTGTNGAACTCGTAACAAGATATAACAATATACAAATTTTCTTGATATATATACCTTTTTTTTTCCTTTTGCTTCTCTCTTGTAACTTTTGATATTTTAATGTACTTTCTTTGTATACAAAAACAAAAGATTAATTTGTAAGAGAATGCGACACAAAATATTAACTCATATTTCTTTTTCGATCGTTTCAATTTTAATTACAAATCATTTGATAATCCTTTGTAGTTTATCTATAGCTTCAAAGTGCCAATGTGATGCAGGAGGATTTGAGTCAGACGAGGTCAAACTGTTTGATAGTACGTTAATGGCGCTTAGATACCATGAGTTGGCGGATCAGTGCAAAATTGGCAAATAATCACCGACATTTCCTAATTGGGGCCTTTTTGGACACGTTTCCGTATTTTGACCATAATTTTGGCCACGGCCGTCAAAATCACACCCATGACCACAATTCGGAAAGTTCTTTTCGGCACGCACGTCGTGGTCACCAAACTATGTTCGGTGTACATCGGTTTCGAGGCCAAATTCAGCTTCCGAATATCAATTTAAGTTATTTTTTACCATTTTTAGTAATATTTCAATTTCCTTTTTGACATAAATTACGATCTCAAATTAAGCTAGATTTTTGGGATCTTATTTCTGTCATTTCGTATTTCCTTTTGGTATGAATAATAAGATTTTGCTATTTTTAGTAAAATTTCGATAATTATTATTTTCTAACTGTTTAATCCGACTTGTGGGTTATTTTCGTTCAGTTGTTGAATAATAAAGATTTTCTCGTTTTTGTTGGTGTTATTTTCTTCTCTGTTATTGTCTATTGGTTCCAGCCTGCAGAATAATCACTATTCTGCTCGACGTCAAGAAGACTGGTGGGTCCACTGTCGATATTGTCATACCGGAAACTGGGTGGCCGAGTGCCGGAAACACTGATGCGACGGTGGACAATGCACAAACTTATGTAAATAATTTGATTTCTCAACTGACATCTGGAAAAGGAACGCCTGGGAGACCTGGAAAAACATTGGAAACTGCAAGCAGCTTTGCATAGACGAGGAAGAAGAAAGGACTTGAAATAGAGTTTCATAGTAGATTAGTTTAAATAGATGCATTTTGAAAACCTCATTTAGATGTATACATTAATCAGTTTAGCCAAAGCATGGTATGGAATCACTAGTCACTTGTTCAATTACAAGGTCACCTACTCAGAACTAGGAACTAAGAATGCTAGGCTTGTATTCAGAAATCATGGAAGAGCATGAGAGCACCATCAAGATTCATCAATGAAGATTCCAGTATAATCCTATCTTTTCCCAAGTGTGTGCATCATTTTTCCAGTTCCCCTACGAGCTTTTCTTAGGGCAACTGAAGAATCTGGTACAGGTTACACGAAAGTGTTAGCAAATAGGATAACTCAATGCCAAGATACAAGATTGAACTTCAGAATGTTGACAACGGTTAATTAGTTTTCTTGAAGGGCATCTCTTTTCATTTCAGCATTGTGTTCCTTTAGCAATTTTGGATAAAGTTTGGTTAAGCTTAAAAAGTTACTTATAAATAAACAAGTCTTGCAAAAAACTCTTATTGATCAAGAAAATAATAAAATTAGTTGGGTTATTTTGGAAAAAGTAGTGTGTTTAAGAAAAAAGTAACTTATCCAAACACGTTCGAAAAAAATTACTTAAAAGCAACTTTAACTTATTTTTAAACTTAGCCAAACATGCTTTCTTAAAAAATTTAGGAAGCTTTGGAAGAAAACTGGTCAAGATAGCCAATTTCAGAATTTCCGGTACCGGTTTACCATGTTTTAGGATAGTGTTACCAATTGCGAATTTATAATGGTGTTAGTGTCATCTGGAATGTGTTGATTCATTATAAGAACTCCCGAGAAAAGATTACTATTATCAGATGTACATAGAAGAAAAGAATATAATAAGAGTTGTTTTGCACATAAACATACCTCTTTTTCCTGATCTAGCTCATCGGTGATTCGCGCAGTCTCAAGTTCAATGCAGCATGGTACATTTCATCAAGAACACGTACGCAAAGAGACTCCTTGTTTATTTCCCACAACAAAAATAGTCTGTTTAGGTCCATTTACTGAGACTTTCTGCATTGAGAATCCCAACATGGTAAGTTTGAACTCAAAGTTTTATCCATTTACTAAATAAGTTAACTCAAAGGTTCATCCATTTGATTTGAGAGCTCCATGACTTTTTGCCTCTTAGTGTTTTCTATAATTTTTTGCCAGTTTAATTTGATAGTTCTGACATTTTGCCTCTTAAATTTTATTTTATTTTTTGCACTATTTTTTTAACTCATCGAGCTCGTCTCTTGAATTACTCGAATAGCCTTTGTTTGCCAAGTAAGCCCTTGTTTGAAACTGATTTTTTCAAAATCACTTTTCCCCCACTAATTTTCAGCCACACATTAAGCAAATAAATAAAAAAATTCTCATAACCTTTTCTTACTTTTTAATCATGCATTCTAAAAAAAACCACTTTCCCCGAAATCACTTCACAATTCACACAAGGGCTTACTATAATCTGTTTATATACTCCAAAACATGCTTTAAAGCTAGAAATATAGTGAGTTGAACTTAGCATTTTATTTATGTCTATTTCCCCAATAAGTTAGTGGACCACAAAAAGCCTACATTCTTCACCTTGGTCCACATAACACGTACACTTTCTCGATTGCAAATTTGCACATGGGAGGCTGTTCATTATCATCGCCCACCACCTATAAGAAAAATGAACCCGTATCAATATACAGTAAAGATAAACATAATTTAAATTTTCCTACAGGCAGAATTTTTGTTCCCATATCAAAGGGATTCTTGTCAGTATGAATCTT